ACTTTGCCAGCGTTGCGTTCCACTGCAAACGCAGAAAATAGGGCTTGCTCTATTTTGTGTTTGCAGTAGAACGCAACGCTGGCAAAGTTTTGCCACGCGTTCGATCACACTGCGGGCGGGGGTGTGTGTAAGCTGTGCCATTGAATTCCCTCCCGCCCTAAAACGCGGGGGGAAGTTTCACAGCGATCGCGGTGCGTTCCAGCAGCTACCGCTCTGGAACATACACGCTTTCGGTGTGAACAAGCCCTTAGTCACTGGAGCATCTCTCCCCTTTTACACGGGTGCCTGTCAGTTCCGTTCAGCAGGGAATCTGTGCCCTTATCCCCTGCTGATCGGAGCAGTTCGGAACAGATGTCACCGTTGTTCACCTCCTATTTTATAACCATTTAGATCTGGCTTCTCATAGACTAACATTGGGCTTCTGATCAGATCTGCCTAAAAAACTGGCAGACGTACTTAGTTGGACCACCCGTCTGAAAGGGGCCTCACATTGGATAGTAATGTAAAGAATAGGTTTCAACTATATTGCATGATATTGTAGGTGCAACACCACAAAATAAAGAAGGATAATGTTATACTAAATAATACTGTAAATTGCTTTGCTGAGAGCAGCATTTCAGTCGGTTTGTTTCGATTATTCGTTATTTCCTTTTTCAGGATTTGGGTCTGAAGTTAATTCGTTTTGGGATTCAAACGAATCTGAAATTTTTGTTAATTTCGGATGAGTTAAATGATATTTACAAACAAATTTTTGTTTGCAGCAAGTGACATCAGAAAAAAAGTGACATTTTTTCTTTTAAACTTGTAACTATAGGTCTGGTAGAAGTTTTAGGGGAACTCAACATAAAAAAAAGGCATGGGGTCCCCTCTAAAATACCTTACCAGACCCTTGATGCAAGCAGCAGCCTGGCAGAGCAGGAACGGGGGGGACAAGTGTGTGGCCTCCCCCCTCCTGCACCATACCAGGCCACATGCCCTCAACAGGGAAGAGTGCATTACCAGGGGGGATCCCCCGGAATAGCACCTTGTTCCCATGTCGAAGAGGACAAGGGCCTAAGCTAAGATAGGAATGTCTTTTCCACCTCCTAAGAGTGACAAGGAATCACATCCTTTGTATTGTGAAGGCTAAATACCACTACATTGGATTCTAGAGTCTTCTTAGCGAGTTGAACCCTGTCTGCGGACAATATCAGCTCAGTAGGTTGTCAGACTATCCGTACAGATGAGTCTCAGGAAAGTATGTGCAAATACATAAATTGGTGGATGACGCAAAAAAACAAAACGACATAAATTAATTCAGAATAACATTTGGATACATTTGAAAATTTATTTATGGGAAAGCCTGCAGAGCCTGAAGCCAGAATGGTTATTAGCCTGCTATATGCTGACTTTGGGCCACAGAATCCAAAAGAAGTATAGCCCCCCAAAAAAGGTAAGGTCTCTTTAAGCTTACCCATGCGGGCAGGATTCATTGGTGTAGCTTGGTAATAACAGTCATATGCAGATAGTCCTGGGTATAACTTCTTTTGGACAAATATGATGCAGACAGAACATGTGGCTAAACATCAAAGAAAGCTTTATTTCCATGTGTTTCGGAACGAGCTCCATGCTTTAATCAGGAAAACCATTACAACAGCATCTATAGTATATAATAGAGAGCAGGCTTTTCAACTCACCAGCAATGGAATGGACAATAGACATGTGAGATTCGGGCAAATTTTCCGAAATTCGGACACATCCCTATTCCAATGCATCAGAATCTGTCAGAATCCGAATTTCCGTTTCCGAATTTTGGATCCCGTCCATATTTCGTTCAAAAACAAAACTGAATCAAGCATGTGACTTTTCTGGCCAATCGGATGTGGTTTTCGGTTTATTGTATCCAAATGGGTCTGAACATGAATTTTCAACGAAAATTTGTGTTTAGTATATACATATAGTACTAAGGCTGAGGCTCCAAGACCCGGATGGCATTCAGGATCCAAATTTCCAAATGGCATTCGAAGCTCCCAAATGCCATTCGGGTCTCGGAGCCATATACAGTATTACTGAAGCTGAGGCTCCCAGACCCTGAATGCAATTCAGAAATTCGGATCCCGAATGCCATTTGGGTCTAGGAGATTCAGCTTTAGTATTAATATCTGTATATGGTTTTCTGTGGTTTTCGAAACTAACGAAAATTCAGATTTCGTCCAAATCCAAAACCCAAACCGAATTTATTTTTGGATCCGAATGCCGAAATAACAAAATATCTGTACCGCACCTAATTTTTCCGCAGCTTACATTTCCTTTCACTCCTATTAACTCTATCTATATAGAACCTCAACAAGAATTCAATTTGTCAGCCATTTTAGAATAGTGACTATAAGATTGTAATTTCTCAATAACAATACATGTAGATTGTACCTATGTACTCGCTTCTAAACGGTTTTCCTGTGTAGATCGGAATAAGCTGCTCTATGATCTAATAATTTCTGAGTCGGTGACTTACTCCTCCCTCACTGGAAGTGAGGTCTGTGTATATATTTAGTAACCCTGGACTTAGTGCCACCTCTAACGTCAATGGCAAAATAGGCCATATGGATTAGTGGTAAATTAGACCCTTATTGCACATGTGGTCTTCTATAAATAAAAAAAATCCTCATTACTACCCAACACTAAAATATAGACACACTTGTCTTAGCCAAGGGTACCAAAACCCATACCAGGTCTAATAAGACCAGTAGAGCTACAAACACCGAGGCATATCACATCCAGCTTCCTCATGACATGTAATAAAAAATTAATTTAAGGAATAATTTGAAAAAGTGTAAATATTTAATTTTTAACCAAAAATATTTTAGTTTTTCTTTTAAACTGGTAACTGGTTTCCGGATCTGGGCAGAAAACGCACTGATCCGCAATTGCACTGGTGTGAATGGGGCCTAATACTGATGTGACTTGGGACCAGTGTGGGGAGAAAGAGTTTTAAAAAAAAAACTCACACATATACACCAGCTCAGGATCTGGAGACAAAGGGAGTGAGAGAGTTGGAACACGCGCACACACACGCGCACACACCAGCTCAGGGAGGGAGAGTTAAAAACACATGGTGCAGCTCAGGAGAGGGGGAGAGAGACAACACTCACCTACCGAGTCCACAGAGGAAACTTTTCATGGCTGTCAGACGGCAGGTACAGCCACACTGGCTCCACAGTCACGCACAGCAGAGGTAACCTAGGGGCGGGGTCCAGCTCACAGGGGTCGAATCTTGGAGCCCCATACTGCAGCGGCGTCCACTGACCACCTAGTATTTTTCTGCCCTCACCCCTTCAGCGCCCTCAAGCGGCCGCTTGACTTGCCTTGCGGTAGCGCCGGGCCTGACTATTGGTGAATTAAATGTTCCAGAAATGTCATTTCCAGCTTCTGTGATTGACTCACATATTTCCCAAGCAGTCTGCACTAAGATACAAGTAAAAATATAAGCATCCCCTTCAACAGAAATTTCACTTTTGGTAAGATATACCCTAATGGTTAACTACTACCAAAGGGATACATACACTGCAACCTTCCTCATTAGAACATTGAAAATGTTACAGATGGTTATAATGAACCAGACTCTTCTATTCAGAAATCGGTTTGGAAATCACATGGTGAAACAAATGACTTTTTCTTCAAAACAGAAAAGGGTTCTGTTAGAATCTCCAATGAAGTTTGCTAAAATCCTTGCAGTGTACATTGATCACCCAGAGGGGATGGGTTTTTTTTCTCAACAAAAGTGGAGTTTAAATATAATGTACAGGTTGGGAGTATAGCTGGCTCTGGACATTATTAGTAATTATTGCACAGAAAATGACTTTAAGATGGGGCAGCTTTTAGGAATTGTCTACATAATGAACCCTTGGACACTACAATGTATACGAATTTTTTGTATTTAAAAATATTTTCCTAAATTGTCAATGCAATGTACTATTCTTACATGCAATTTCCTCTTAGATTTAATAAGTCTATGGTGGAAGGACTGGCAGAACGGTTGTATTGTCATTTAAGAGACCTGCAGAAAACGAAACAGACTCCTCAGGATGAGAAAGAAATTAGCAAACTACAAGATAAAGCAGCCAAACTAGAAAAAACCATACAGTAAGTGTTATGTAAACATTACAGCAGAATATCTGTATTATAGTGAGTACTTAACCACCTTAGTAACGGAGCAATCTTTTAATTTCTGCACATACATGCTAAAATCTCAACCACTTCAGGTGGACGACGTATACCGTATGTACGTACACTGGTCCTGAAGTGGTTAAAATGTATGTACACTCAATGATGAACATGTCTTTTTTGGTCTGTTGAATATACCACTGAAAGTGCTTTGTTATATCTGTTAAATAATAATAATTGCAAAAAATCAGTTGAACTTGTCAGAAATCCAAAGCTGTCCTGTGCACAATTCCTATGTTATCTCATAAATAATTAGCCCTATTAGTTCTTCTCTTGGAATTAGAGAATGCTTAGCCTTTATGTTGTGCAGATGGGAGAGAAGGTGTGTCTGAGTAGTTTAGCAAAAAAATAAAAAACTGGGTAGAGCTGACAACACTCGTCCCACACAAATACTGTGTACTCTCAACCCACAACAGGACTTAGAAGCTGAGTGTATTTCTGGCAGATCAACAGGTATGTACTTTTAATGGTTTTTATAGGGATAAAACGTGGGGAAATGTGCATTTATGGCAGAGATGTACTGTATTTTTCTCTGATATACACTTTAAGCAAATGCTACACTAAAGTAAGCATGCAACATACAGTTTGGAGGGGGGTATATCATTCTGTGTACAACCCCTCCTATGTCCTGCTCCCATTGTTGGCCACAGAGATTGCCCATCACAGTAAGCGGAGTATAGTACAGTGTGCGGGGGGGGTGTAACACAACACTGATAATGTTACAATATGGTTAGACATATTGTTCCTGTCTCTTTAGAGACAATGGTGTTGATTTGCCAAAGGCAAGAGAATCTGCACTTTGCAGGGGACATTTTTCCTTAGTTTAGTGAATGAAACAAAACTTTCCTGACCTCCATCACCCAATCATGTGCAAACAAAATACTGTTTTTTTTTGCACATGATTGGGTATTGTTTGCAAAGTGAAATTTCACCACATTCGCCAAGCTAAAGAAAAATTCACTTGAAAAATGAACAGCCTATTTGCCAATCAACCCCAATAAATCTTCATACATTTATATACTGTGGTGGGAATTTATCAAAACTGGAACAAACAGAATCTGGAGAAGTTGCCTATGGCAACCAACCAGCATCTCTCTTCAGTTTGCTCAGGTAAGATTTGAAAATGAAAGAGAGAAGCTGATTGGCTGCAAATCTGCTCCAGATTTTGTCTGCTCCCGTTTTGATAAATTTCCCCTGTATATATTGCCATATCAATATATTTTAAGACTGTTATATACAAAAGATTAGTTGGAGAAAATAATAAATATTTTTTCCTTTTAAACCCAGGTCAGATGGCGTTGACATGTCCGATTCAAAGCCTTCAAATGCGTAAGTAAATCTTTGAATGTAAATAAGTGTTATTAAGAGTATATAACATATAAAGTACATATGGGGCACATGTATTTATTCAATTTAATAGTGCTAAAAGATAAGCCCACCCAAAACTAATATCTTGGGCTGACACCCAGTAGCTTCCAGAGTAGGAATTGAATGTTGTGTAAAAATTGATTCTTGGTGAAAGTTGGGGTTGAGTCTTGTGAGAAAACATTGCTATATAGACCCTTTCAAGTTCCCAAGTAAAATGTTGTTTTTTTTACATTGGTGTGACGTAGCCATAAGCCCTCGTTCACACCTGAACGTTTTGTAGCGCGTTCTACGCTCGACGAACGCTCTACAAAACGCTCAAAAATATCAATCCTATTGTATTCAATGGTCTCGTTCCCACCTTGGCGTATTTCCGCCCGTCCCTAACGCGCTACAAAACGGCCCACACCTGAAAAGGTACAGGTACTACTTTGGGCCGTTTTGTTTCGCGTTTCCATTGGGATACAGCCAAGTAGCCTTTGAAAACGCACGACGGTCACGCATATGCAATATGCCTAGGTGTGAACGAGACCTAAAAGTCACCTAGCTTTCAGTAAATGTTTGCTATTTATTTATAGATACTTGAACCTTGATAAACAGATGGATTTTCAACTGAGCTTAATTAAATGAAAATAAGAAAAATACTGAGGGAACAGAATGAAAAATATTCAAACACTTCGACTTTATGTTTACATAGCAAAATCAACATGAAATCCAGAGTCTTTTAAACAAAAAAAGAACCTAAGGTGGATATTAAAATGGTGCATATAATGCAGAATATTGGTTGTAGTGAAATTAAAGTCATCTAGTAAAGTGGTTCAAAGGAGTTAATTGTAGTGGCATCCCAACTGAGGTGAAGCCCATACTTCCTTAAAATAGCATCTAATTAAGAAATATGACTTCATTATTTGAGACCTTACATCACAAGGGCTAGGAATTTCAACCCCTCAGCCCCAAAGCAGGGTCACTATTGGATTGCCAGTCACCTAGGGGGTGGGGTGCTCCTATTCCTTTGGAGCATGGGCTTTTTGATTCAAGAAAAAAGGAAGTTCTGCTGTGCACTTTACCGATACAAAATTAATTGGTAATTGGTGGCCCTTTTAATCAATTATTAGCAATTCACTTCTACTGCCAGATATATCCGTTTGCTTTGCCCAGTAAAATAATGAACTGTAAAATGTATTTACAGTATTTCCTATGCTGCTCAGCTCCATCTAGTTGCCATAATGCAGTATTACATTGCATTCAACCTGAAAAGAAAATATACTAAGAACATGAATTATTGTCTCTGCATAGAACACATGTTCACAGAGATTTGCAGGGCAAATTACTCTGCAAATTGTTTATACCTATTGTCCATATACCTATTGCACTCCTGACCGCTTAATCCAAGAATAAGTAGGTGGGTGCAGCGATGGTCGACAGATGGCATTGTCACATGCACATGCTATGAATAGAACACCGGCACTCCAATTACAGTATTTATTGACGTGAATGTGACATATCAATAAAATACAAGTGCAAAGTTTTGAGATCACACAGGACCCTCTTCCTCATGCAAGACATATGAAGATGCACCATATCTGTATTTGGTTTGCCGGTGTTCTATTCATATCTTGTTTATAAATATACACCTAAGTGTTCTTGCATGCTGCCTCTCTTTTTTTGGTGGTCTATGAATGCTAAATCATGCTCTTTGTCTTAATCTTTTTGGGCCTTTTCAGAACACTGGTTGTAATGAAGAACTTGTCGCACTCCTTACCGGAAATCCCAATGATAAGAATGGGTGCTGAAATGACTGTGGATGCTGCCGCTATCACATCAGTTTGGTAGAGAAGAACGTCACCAGCACACCAAAATCCTTTTTAGGATCATCAATTGTTAATTTTATTGAACAGATTGTCTGTTGAAAAACAAGTGCTTTCGGGACCTCGCAGTGTCTTTTTTTTTTTTTTTTTCTTTTCTTTTTTTTCTCTATAGGTTGAACTTGTCTTTTTTTCAACCTGACTAACTATGTAACTATGTAAAAAGGCTCAACAGGTTGATGTTGAACCTGATGAAGGGACCCTGCGAGGTCCCGAAAGCGCTTGTTTTTCAACTGACAATCTGTTCAATAAAATGAACAATTGATGATCCTAATAAGGATTTTGGTGTGCTGGTGACATTCTTCTCTTCCAAACTTTTCAGAGCACTGTCTCAAGAATATTTGTGCATATAGTCTCTTTGAAATTGCGTGGCCTAACAGTGATAAAATACCTGGTCTCTACCTCTGAAATTGTGGCTAATCAAAAAGTCATGAAAACTTGTAAAATAAATTTAAACTGTTCAGCAAATCTGTAACATTTTTTTCTGTCTAACTTCTCAGAAACAATACACTGTAATTTTTGGATTGCAAATTAAATCTGATTGCTTTCCCCCTTGGGCATTGCATCCTAGCAAACAAAAAGGAGTGCATACTGTATAATGTTTCTGTATTCAGTCTAAAAAAAAACCCACCAATTTTTATTTCCAAATGCAGTTTGCTTGCCTTCTTCCTCTAAAATGTAATCCTATTAACAGACTTAAATTCTGTGCAGTAAATCTGTACAATTTATTTTTTTACTTCGGTCTCCAAAAAATACACTGCAGTGTAGCATTTACAGATATCTGCCTTTTTTCACCTTCTGAACTTGCATTCCATCCTTGGAGACTGCATCCTAGCAAAAAAAAGTACACAGTGTCCAGCAAGTCTGTCTATCTTCAGTCACAGACAAAATATAAAACCTGCCTAGTCTCCCTTTTTTTTTTTATTCTGGCCTAGTTAAAATTCTTAAATGTTGTGCAGCATGTCAGTGCAATATTTACGGCACTTGAATCTGACATAGTAAGCTGTCAATTTTTTCAATATGACTGTAACTTTAACTGCCTCATCCCATCCTCTAACATATCGGCCCAGAAAAAACTGCTTACATAATGTGCAGTGATGCTCTACAATATTTTTGGCTGCTGTCTTTAAATAAAACTTTCTTATTGTTATTTCTTAAAACAAAATGAAATACATCTGAATATGAACTTTTATATTACTTTTCTTACAATTGTACAGCAACAAATACTAACACTCAAGCCTTTGGTTTTGGCTTCCCAGGGCCTCTTTTGTCATCCTGACACATTTGCACTGCAGTAGCCCATTGCTCTTCAGAAAATTACCTTGTTTTGGTAATTTGATGTTCTAGAAGTATAAATTACTAAATCATGTGAATGTGCAGATATGGTATTTTGAGCCCTTCTCACTGGAAGCACTTTACTTTCAAAGAGAGGAAGAGGGAAGTCGCACAGAATTATAGGACAAGAAGCTGCAATATTAGCACCACACTAGCACAGGTCTTGCAGATGAACGGGGCATTGGATTATAAAAAGAATCAGACTGAAGTAGATTTTCTGAGGCAGTGTGAGGTAAACTGTGTAGACTTTCTGAGGCACCGTAATAATGTTACAGTAACACTTCATTTACTTGTTACTTGAAGCTTTTCTTTAGTACTATGTCCCCTAAAACTTAATATTAATATGGTCTAAGTAGGTCAAAAAGGATCCACAGCAAGAAGCTGTCTAGGAAATTTTAGAAAATTAAAAGGAAATACATAACAAGGTACCATAAGTCTATGGGATATGTAATATGAGAGCTGACCTGATCCATCCAGTTGGTCTGTATCCAATTAGACCAGCCCCTGCGCTACATACTTGTTGGTAGACCAAAAATAGATTGTACAATCAAATTGTAATGTGTATGGTGAGCTTTAGAAGCATATTTATAAAGCAGCAAATTAGACATTCACTAAACATATATTGCAAGTAAATCTTCATCAGTTCATTTGTTTTTATATAGAGTGATTGCTTTGCCAGCAGTGTTTTGTGAATGTCCCATTCACTGCTTTATAACTCTGTACTTCGAGATGCGTAAGAATATTTTGAAAATATAACAAAATACGTTCATTACCATGTTTCAGAATGCCATAAAATTCCCCAAGTACTTCATCCAAACAAAACAATACTTACAATTCAGATTTGTCTGATCTTCTTTTTTTTTCACAGGATCAACTCAAGAAATCAGGAGTCTCAGGTCCTCAAACAGGCTAATTACAATAGTTTAATGCAGAAAATTAAGAAGCTCCAAGAAATACCCCCAGACTGTACCTATGCTGATGAAAAGAGTGTGGATAACAAGGTAAGGCAACATAAGTCATTTAAAAGATTACAATTCAGATTGCTGTCAGTGTTATTTTAAGCTTAAATCTGTAGCTAAATAATGTAAATATGTTTTGCAGACATTGGAATTAATGTATAAAAGAATAGAATACTCAAGTCATACTAGATTCAAGAAACTTATACCGCTCTCTAAGAGAGGCATTGGTTACCATCATGAAGCAGTTGATACTAGAGGAAGAAATTTTTTGGAAATGCTGTTCAGAATGGGATACGTTAGAGTAAGTATTTTACTGAAAAAATTAAAAAAATGTATTTTATCATTGCCCTCTCAATAGAAAGACAAAGAAACAGAAAAATGTGCAGTTATTTAACTGTACATTTACGTTTTTTTTAATCTTTTCAAATGGATTGTATATGGTTTGATTTATGATTTTGTGCAGTAATCTCAAATAACTTATTACACCACAATGAAGATATTATAGATTCTACTACAGATATTACATTTGCAGCTTGCGCTGCTTAAGTTACATTCTCAGTAAACCACAGTAGTGCAGCAATGAATGACTGCCATGAGCATGCGGGGAAGTCATGTCATACTCCGCTGACCAACCAAGATAGCCAAAGATCTGCACCTGGAAGAAGCTGGGGAGAATATATCGGCGCATTGCAATGATGGAGAGGAGAGTAAGGTCCACCTAACATATTATACATCTTTTTTTTTTCTGGGCAGACGGGGCTTTAATTTGGTAGCAAATTTGGATAGATGCATTTTTATTGGAAATAAATTGGGGGAACATTAACATTTTTGCAACCCAATGTTTATGGAACTTGTGCACCCTCATGAATTTACCCCAAATTATAATCAACAGAGTCTGCTGATGATAAAATGATATCACTTTAGTGTGACTTTTATGTAACGTAGAGGAATGATAAAGCTCAAAGTGAACATATGTGTTTTAATTTAGAGAGTTTTATTCCCTTTTTGATGCTATGGGGAAAAAAAGGTTTGCTTAAATTGTTAATGTAACTTTAGGATAACATTAAGCCAGGTTGATTGCTTCCTTTTTTTTTTCCCTCTTGCTTTCACATAAAAGGTTTAACACTCATAACACAAATTGTATGAAGGAAAAGGTCTAAGTGGGATCCCACCTAGTAAGGGGGAGCAGGAAAGGTTTGAGACCCCATTCACACTGAGCTACATCAGAAAAAGCGCTGATTTGAGCTGAGCAACTTTGAGAGACATTGAGCTGCAGTGCACATATCGTCATGCTACGTAGCACTACTTTTGGCATGGACTTCGTAGCTGCTACATTGGGCTGTATCTAATCAAAAGTGGTCTTGATGTGACATAATTCCTCTTCCTGTTTCCTGCTTATGTTCCTGCTTATATTTCTGTGCACACTTCTGTAGCGTGACTTAGCACGACAATGTCGTGCAATGTTGCTCAAATTTGTGCGACATTGAGCTACACCATTGAAGCCTATTGAGCAAACTCGCACAAAATACGCCAAAAAATAGGTCATGTTCAAGCGACAATCTTGAGCTACAAGGTACAGGTGACATAGCGCTGTGAGATGTGAACAGCTCCAAATGCATTGGACAAGCTACTTTGAGTTGCTGTTTGAGCGATTTTTTTTTCTTTGAGCTGAAATCGCGCTACAGATCGCTCAGTGTGAATGGGGTCTGAAGGGCAAACTTTAGATGTAAAATATAAGTTTAGCTGGATAACATAAAGGAGCTATTTAGGAGGACTATCTCCTTTATAATGAGCACATTGGAGGGGTAGACGGCAACACAAGGAACAATGGATCACAGGTATTAAAGGATAATTGATACGTAATAATCGGGGGTTATATAACACCATATTTGTTTTTTACACAGTAGGGATCACAAAGGGGATTCAAGAAATGGGCAGGAAGTGAAGGGGAGAGTAGAATGGAGAACAGGAGTACCACCGAGAGAGGAGAGATATTTGAGAAAAAGGAAGTAAATGATACATGGGAGATCGACAGTATTTTCTGGGGAGGAGGGAGGAGGAATTTAGGGGGAAAGGGATTATGTGGAAAAAATGGACCCCTAAATAATGAAATAAAGGTAAAATAGACATGGGTTTGGCCTTTTGATTGGTTTCACCCCTGGATAGAAGCCGGCATTTTTTTTTGTTTTTTTCCCCCATTCACTCCCACCCTTCTCCATGTTTGCAGAGAGGGGGTGGGAAGGAAGGGGAAATATCACGCCGCGGTATACAAGAAGAAAAATTAGGGAAAAAGGATGGACATTGATTCATAAGCTGTGATTTGGTTAAAGAATATAAATATAATGAAAAATATTAAGTTTGGATCCCAAAATATTAGGGGCCTCAATATACCACAGAAGCGCTCCCAGGTTTTATATAATATGCAAACTCAGCTGGTAGTTTATCTACAAGAAAGTCGCTTTTAAAAGCTCCTCTGTTCCTAAAATGCCCACTAGATATTATTCTAAGTGGTATATGAGTAATTATTCCCAGAGTAAATCGCGAGGAGTGGCTATAGGCTTCCACACATACTACCGGTAACAGATATTCAGGAAACAAGGGATGAGGAGGGGCGGTATATTTTTGTAAAGTGCAGAATACATGGAAAACTATATACGCTGGCAAATGATTATTTACCCAATAAAGGTCAAGCGGGAGCATTACTCCAGGATACTGAATCAATTGAGCAATTTTATGGAAGGAACTGTAGTATTTGGAGGTGATTTTAATTTAACAATGGAACCCCAAATTAGAAACCTTGAAGGGCACAGTACACATCCCCTATGCCCAGCTTAATCAAATAAAACAGTGTCTCCATAGCTGCAGCTGGTGGATATTTGGCAAGTGATGTACCCTAAAGTAAGGGACTACACATGACACTCGTCGACACACACTTCCTATAATCGAATAAACTATTTCTTTGTATTTCATTGTTTATTAAGCTGCCAGGTACAGACGAAAATAGGACTGCAAATATGGTCGGATCATGCTCCAATATTTTTCACAATTATACCCCCAAAAACGATGAAACCACGAGCAATGTGGAGATTAAATGAAACGTTAATACACGATCCAACCACAAAAGAGGCGGTCACTCAAGCTATTGCACATTTTTTAATAGATCACAAACCGTATACTATTGCACTGTCAATAAAATGGGAAGCGTTAAAGGAGTGATCTGAGGTGTCTTGGTGTCCCAAGGGGTGCGCCTAAAAAAAAAAATATATCCCTGTATTAGATCTTAGAGGATATATATCAACTGGAAAGCCAGCATAAAAGAGTACCTGACGCAGAGGTATATCTAAAACTTCAGCAAAAGAGAGTAGAACTTCATCAAAAACTAGACCTGGAATACCAGAAGTACAAGGAATGCGCTAATAGAACAATGTATGAATTTGGAAATAAGAGCAGCAGGTTATTAGCTTCCTTGATTAGAGAGAGATGCACATATATTCCTAAAATTCAATGCCCATATCAGGGTTTGGTCTACTAAGAAATGATTGCTGAAGTCTTCCATAATTATTATGGGAATTTATATAATCTAAGGGGGAATGGAAGGAGGAGGGAGGAGAGGTTAGAACAAGATAGGTTAAAATACGTAGCCCAACCAGCTCTACTTAGATTGGAAAATGAAGTGATAGAATTCTTAGATAACCCATTCTCACTGAAGGAGACAATAGGGGCAATACATTCAATGCTGTTGGAGAAGAGCTTGGGGCTGGATGGGCTAACGATGCACACTGTGTTCAATGCAATTAACAATAATTGTGGATTACCACAACAGAACCACATTGGCGTATATTGCATTGATTCATAAGAACCAGAAAGATCCTACACAGTGTGCAAGTTATAGGCCAATCTCTTTGATAAATGTGGATATGAAGATATTTGCTAAAATTGTGACTCTATGCCTGCAACCATATATAGAGACCGTGATACATCCAGAGCAGGCAGGTTTTATCCCCAGGAGAGAGGCCAGAGATATCGTCCATATCAAAACCATATCTCTTATCCAACAGGTGTGTCTTCATGGGCCTTCTCTGTGTCTTTTGTCATTGGATGCAGAGAAGTTCTTAGATACACTGGATTGGAAGTTTATGAAAACATCACTCGAACAGATAGGAATACCTTTGTCTCTAGTAGAAAAGATTATGGCATTATACTCTTGTCCAACGGCTAGGTTACGGGTAAAAGAAACATTATCAAATCCTATTAAAATTACCAATGGGATGCGGCAGGGATGCACATTGTCCCCTCTATTATATCTTATTGCGATGGAACATTTAGCCGTGGCATTACGCCACAATGAGTACATCAAAGAGGTTAAAACAGGTGAGATGATGTATAAATTGAGTATTTTCACTGACCTATTATATATCACAAACCCTAGGATAGCATTCCCTCTGCATGAATGGGAACACATAGCAAACTCATAGAGGTTTCTAAAATTTGACTGCAAAAGTGGACATATCCTTTAAAATATTGTGGAGATGGGTAAATAACCTTTTACAGATATCTGTATTATTACCTATCATGGAAATAAATTATGACCAATAACTATAGAAGAAAAAAAGCTTGCTGTATTGCCTCTGCTGCCTATGGGGACAATGGTCAATTCTGCCCTGCTTACCTATGTGGCTAGCGACACACTTGAGGTAATTGAAGATTGCTCTGCAGCATGCTAATTGAAGTATTAGGGCTCATTTACATAGGTGTGCACATCCGTATGACAATGAGACCTCCTCCTGGGAGGGACAGGTGCTGCACTGTCTGCGTCCAAGTTCAGGTACCCGGACCTGCATGGAATCTGCACAATGGACTAACAAACCTATAGTCAAATTTGACCTACAAAAGTGGAACTGCACTTTATTGTTTATGTATACCAAATATTAATTTTCAGCATGTCTACCAACATGCCTCACTGTGTACAGTTTTCTTAAGCAAATCTGTTTCTTTGGGGAATCTGTTGCAAAGTTTTCTACCTGGAGATCCTGTCAGTAACAGCACTTCCTGTTTCAGGCTGACCCCGCTTGTAATAGTGCTCTCAGCCAATCATGCACATTGCCTTTAATTAGCATTGAGCAGCCTAACAGTTTTCCTGTGCCTCCTGCTGACCTGATAGGGTGCCTAATGGCCACCTCAAGGCACCTGCAATTCAGGCTGGCAACCCTGCTACTGTGGCTTGGTGTTACAACTGATTCATAAAAAATTGATTTGCTTAGGAGAACTATGGGATTAGGGCTTTTCCCCATAGTTCTCCTAAGGGTAACGGGAGGACACAAACTAGTGTCCTCCCGTCACCCAAAGCTCAGTAGCTCGCGGTATACTGAGATGCCGCAGCCGTAACGGATCCCGACAATTATGTCTGGATCCACCCAGCTGCGTAAGTGACAGCTGGCTCTGCCTATCTAGAGGCAGAGCCAGCTGTACCCTCCCCCGTCCGTTCTGCCAGTCAGCGCTGGAGGATCGAACAGGGGAGGGGGGAATGCAGTCCCTCCCCTGTCACGGCTCTCTGCCGGCACAGGATTAAGAAGTGAGTGAGCACCTCATAATTCTCCTTTAAAGTATAATTAAGCCCTCTGGGTTTTTTGCATGTATCTTTAGAACTGCTAGCAAGCAGTAGATATGTGCAAAACATAATAAAAAAAAGATACCAAAAGGTTAAAACTTACCTGCGTCTCCGCTACTCACACCCATCCGAAGTTCCGAAGATTTTTGGGCGGCCGCAAAGGATCATGGGGCATGCGCAGTAGAGACCTTCGGCCGGGAGAAGAGGAGAGACACAGGGTAAGTTAATGCACGCAGCCAGCAGCGCGTAACCTCACAGACTGCATGGGACAGGAAGAGAGCAGTCAGTGCTGGATCAGAGACCAGAACCAGCGATTTGGAGGGATTCCTGATCAGATCAAGAGGTACCATTTAAGGTAAGTCTTTACACCAGCATAGGGGAGGAGGAAAAAAAATAGACTTTAATGTCACTTTAAGACTGTATTCTGTGAGGCATGATGCTAAACATACTGAAAAATCGATTTAGGGTTTACATACACTTTAAATGGATAATTATGGGGTGAGTGAAAAACCCCATTCTCATAATTCAAGCTGACCTGTGATAAAGAAGCTGTCACAGGTCGGCTCTTTTGATCGGGAAGTAAGCAAACACTGACTTCCCGATCCTCTCCCTGCAGAGAGTGGTTACGGTCAATCATCACCACCACCACAGGGATTCCCCCCTCCACTCTCCGTCTCTCCAGCGCTGAGTGGAGGAACCGAGAGGGGAAGGGGGCGGGCACAGTGGCTCTTCCTCTAACAAGGCAGAGCCAACTGTCAATCAGCAAGAGGGGTGGATCTCAACAGTATTGTTGGGATTCGGCTCTGCTGCAGCGCTCAGCATATAGTGGGCAATAGCCTGCTATATACTGAGCTTTGGATCACCAGAGGACACAGTATATGTCCTCCCGTGACCCTGAGAACAATGGACAAAAAAGGTTGCCACATAGTTCTCCTTTGAAAGAGTTTTTTCTTGCTCACAGGTTTATTATAACTTACATTCATTTGCAAATTATGTTCTATAAACAAAGAGGATGTGTCAAGTGGCCTTGGTCCTTCTTCTCTGTAGGGTGGTCCTTATGACTAAATTTGCACCCTGGGTTAAAAGCTTAATTGTGTAAATTTTTTTTTCCAGGTTGTAACTGCTACTGGCTCACTTTCCCTGGGAATCAACATGCCATGTAAATCTGTGGTTTTCCTGCATGATTCAATTTTCCTGGATGCACTAAACTATAGACAGGTAATTTTATACAGAACTCTTAACACTTTATGATACTAATCAGTTTAAGCTCAATACACAAGTTACAATCTGACTGTCCAATCTCCTTGTGGCTTACCATACACATTACAAACTGACTGCACAATCTCTTTTAGATTTACCAAGGACCTGTGAGGCATCGTATGCAAACACCCCAGTCCATGTGTAGAGTAATAGGTGTTTCACCTCTTAGCAGCCACCTTTCCCTTATGGCAAGTACACCTACCAGCAGTCGCATACAACCAGGATTTAAACTATATACTCTGGCTGTGAGGCATCACTGCAGACCCGTAGGGAAAAGGTAGAGCAGGGCAGTGGAAGGTGAAAGCTTGAAATTGCAAAAAGTAGAATCCAGGAAACCCTCAGCATAACAGAATAATTTGATGTGAATCAGGACACTTATTTTTCCTATGACCATGGTCCTGTAACAATGGTAAATACATTCACAATACAGGTCCACTCCTCTGCTCAGGGGGCGGGTGCAATAGCCACAGTGCTTTTGGCTATTGCAATTCGAAAAAGCCAATAGCAGCCAGGCTATTGCTTCCCATTGTTTACATTCTGTTGCTGACTGCAGAATCTAGCCGCCGTCCAGCAGCAAGATGTAAACAAAGAATCGGTGCACACTAACATTTTTTGTTAGCAACTAAATTTATGTATTGCTAATTAAAATTTTTTAGTGTGCACCAAGCAACCAACAATGTTTGTGTGCGTCAAGCCACCGACAAAAAATTAATCAAGTACATATTATGTACTCAATTTTTTTGCCTGGTGCTTGAGAGTACTGGTTCTCTGAATGCTGGATAATAGGGAGTTTCCTGTATCTTATATCTGACATTATTTGGAGTATCTTGGATATAGCAGTAAAGTTTATTAGCAGTAGTGAACGCTGGATCTGTGTTTTCTTAACTGTGATTACTATTGAATGCTTATTCCAAAGAGGTCAATGAGTGATTTCTTGATTGTCGAAGCTGCATCTCTTGATTTATCTATAAGATCTATGTGTACATGAGCAGAAGTATAATACATACTGTATGTAAACATGTGATGTATTTTTATTAGATGATAGGACGTGCTGGAAGACGAGGACTGGATCTAGAGGGAAGTGTGTATTTCTTCAACATTCCAGTACCAAAAGTGAAAAAACTTATGAAGTCCAATGTTCCAGAGCTAAGAGGCCAGTTTCCTCTGAGCATTTCTCTTGTACTAAGACTCATGCTTCTGGCAGCCAAAGCAGATGGCAAAGAGGATGCTAAAGCAAAAGTAAGATTTCTTATGTGTAAATATTTAAACCATTTTTGTACACAGCAGAGTTTTGAAATGAAACCCTTTTAAATAAGATTTCTCTTTTGGGTCTGCTTTACAAATAGGGAAAGGGAAAACATTGTCTGCTAAAGGGAAAATCAAATTTTCAATTCTAGCACTGTGCATGTCTGCCCTCATCACGTATGGGTCTTCACTGAAAATGGTTTAGCCTGCTTTCTCTGCCTTATCACTTCTAGTGACCTCTAGTTCGCAGAGTCCCCCCTTTGATCAAAGTTCGTTAGAGTTGCCCGTTACATCAGTGTCCGCAGAGTTTCCTCTTACCTGAGAGCCCATCGAATCCTGAGGCAGGCAGCAACTGAATGTTGGAGGAGGTGGAGCACTGGAAGTTCCATCCTCCTTACTGGGCAAACCAGGTTGGATTGGTTGGACGCTGGGCAACTAAACAGTGTTGTCAGGGCTGTCCCTAAAGTATTTGTCATCTGAGGCGATGTGCTGTTGTTCAGGGGAAGGGGTTGGTGCTGGCAGGGTTGTTCAGAGCCATGACTACCGTAGCCCTCCGCCAATCACTGGGGATCCTACCAGTCATTAAGGAGTCCTTAAAAATGAGGATTAATGGTCTAGTTATAACCTGGCTTAATTCCTTAAGTACCTTGGGGTGCAGGTTATCCGGACCCACTGCTTTGTTTGCATTGAGCATTTTAAGTCGTGCCGATTTGTTGTTCGAGGGGGTGGGGCAGACGATGGAGCAGCTCTGTCCAGGGTCCCAACCAGCTCAATGATGTCACTGGTTGCCAAGAGCTCAGTGGGATGCAAGCCATATCTTCCTGCTCAGTTCCTGGCAACCAGTTATGTCAGCGAGCTGGGCAGTAGGCCGCACAGAGCATCACAGGTTGCTAGGAGCTCTTAGCAGCCTGGGATACTGTGGTCACCCTCTGCCACCCCTACCACCACCTGGCCACCCCCCAATGAGATGCCAGCAGGCTGCCTCATTACAGGGACGGCATAATTCACCTCGCTTTCATTATTTATTTAAACCACAGCAGTCTGTCTCTGATGTCAGCATGAGCCAGCGAACGTTCACTCACTTATGGAGCAGTGCCCCACCTCCCGATTCAAGTGGCATCTAGGGCATGTATCTTACCCTGGCTATCCCAATGCCATCAGGCATAGTTTTGGGGACACCTATTTCCTGGGAACAGACTCCTTTAAAATGGGGGCCATCCCTTGTAAAATGGGACAGATGGTAAACATATGCTGCATAGTATGTGGTTACTAGATGAACAAGGTTATCTGTTGTTTTATCTTTGTATTGTAGGAGAAATTCTTTTTAGATTTTCAAAGCACTGTTTATGCTTGTACTGATGGTTCTGTTGCTGTAACCATTCATATGAAAGGATTCTGCCAATGTTTTCTGAGATGTTTGTCTTCTGGGTCAGAGCATATGCAGTTTTATCTAGTGGCCTGTGTATGATGGTTTGTTTGGTGTGTGGCAGTGTGTGTGGAGATAGTTGCATAATTTAGTGAATTTCCGATATATCGAAGTGTGTGTGCATTTTTTCATCTCTGGTGGAGCGGAGGAGGTGCCAAGTCAGCGACTGTTTGTCCTGTAGCTACAGCACTGCCTAGAAGATCAAAGGACACAGCATATGTGGCAAGAATTACAAATGAAAATGTCAGCATCCCCTGCTTTCCTTCAAATTTTACATGTGAATCATTACAGGTACCTACGCTGGCCCAATTTAACTTTTTCAAAAAAATGTTTTAAACATGATGTAACAGGAAAAACAATTTGGTAAATACATATTATAAAATGGAAGAGATATTGTATTTGTTTACCTGTGTTATGATTTAAGAAAATATTTATTATCTTAACATTGTTTCTGATATACACAAACCCTGAAATAGTCTGTTGAACTACTAATACTATGTATTATTTTGTTTTAGGTGCTATCAGTTTTAAAGCATTCCCTTATGACGTTCAAACATCAAACTGAAGCACAAATGTTAAAGCTTTACTGTATATTCTCACTGCAGTTCCTGCTATCCAAGGTATGTGTTTAAATATATATAATTTTTTCCAGTCCATCTTCGCTAATTGTCACCTCCTGTTTCTGATTAAATTTGTGTGCCAGATTTTTATTTTGGTAGAGGCTCACTTATTTCAAGTGACATTAAACTCAGGAGTTGAATCTTACAATTGCATTTAAGTACCCTATTAACTAAAATGTAACTTATTTGTATATCACTCGCTGTAGAATCTCAAATCATCTCTGAATTGGTGCTGACACTGTCCTTCCTTCTGGAGCGTGGTTACTTTTGTTCCCTATAGTCACTGAGTGTGTCATAAAGTAGCCACCACTCCAAGCTTGCTCCCGCGATGGACTACAACTCACGTTTAATTTACTAATTTGTGCAAAATATATTCTTGGATCAATTCAAAATACTCCATGGATGACACCACACCCTCAAGGAAACTACAATAGTTACAAAGAAACAACGGGATTTAACCCCTTCACGGCTGGTGACGTACACTGTACGTCTCCATCGTGAAGTGCCCAGATGACTGCTCACGTACACTGTACGTGAGCAGCTATTCAGGGTTTTGAAATGCCAGTAACCACTGAGAATCAGCGGTTACTGTTCATTAATGGATGCCTCAGTATTTTGTAAAAGCTTCTTTCTTTCATCAATGAAAGACTGAAGCTGTTAAAAATACCAGTTTTGACAGCTCTGTAGAGATCGGAAGTTCTACATGTCTACAGAACTGCTGTAGCGAACTTACCCGTCCTTCGGTTCCTGCGGCTCCGTCGGGGAACCAGCAAAGAAGTCAGGCAGCTCCTCCCCCTTCCTCTTAAGCCGACGAGTTCACTTGCCTGGTGTTCGTGCAAGTGTGTGTGAGGCCAGGCAAGTGCCTCCGCGGCTCCACACAACCCCACACTATTGGACCGGACGAGTGCCCCTTCTCTCTGCCCTCAGCAGAACCCCACACTATTGGACCGGACGAGTGCCCCTTCTCTCTGCCCTCAGCAGAACCCCACACTATTGGACCGGACGAGTGAAGGAAATCGTCCCACCGACTCCCTCAGCA